AGGCAGCTGAAGCGCTCTGTGGGACTGGTTTGTGGCCTGTTTGGAGAGGTCACCAGTCTGGGGGCTGTAAGGAGCCCCAGATTTGAGCAATTCGCCCTGAGCGGACGCCTTCAGCTGTGCCCAGACATGGCCTGGTCGGTCACAGAGGCCATAATGGAGGCTTCGGAAGAGGTTTGGCAGACCCTTGCCTGCACTCCCCCAATCAACAAGAGGGCTGACAGGAAGTTCTTTGTCTCGGCCAGGGACATGGACTTCTTGTTCTTCTTTGAGTGATTGCTCATGTGCATTCCAATGAAGTGTGCGTGCACCGCGTGCATGGTTTCCAGAGAATTTTTTCCCCCAGCGGTACCCATCGGGCCGGCAAGTCGGCCCCCCTGGAGTGGCACCGCTATAGCGGAGCATAAGTACCCCTGCCGGTGCTTCCCCTCCTCAGTTCCTTCTTACTGCCCGTCATAGTTGTTGGAGCTTCTCTGTTCTTGTGACAGATCCCAGTGAGAGTTAATTGTTTACCTGTTGGCAGTTTTCTTTGTTCTTCCAGTTTTAGTTTGTCAATTAGTTAGCTAGTTTTTTGCAGTTTATTATCTCTCCCCTCTGGGGGAGGAGGATGCCAGGCCCTTACGGCTTTAAACCCTGTGCATCCTGCGTTAAGCCGATGCTGAGAGGAGACCCCCATGACTCTTGCCTAAAGTGTCTGGGAGCAGGAGCGGCCTGAGGGCGGCTGCGGGAGCTGCCGTGCTAGGCGGAAGGCGCGATCGGTGCCCCCACCTGCTCAGCCATCAATGGCCATGACATAATCTTGGGGTGCCCCGGCACCCCGTGACATCATCATCGGGCACCTGGACTGGCGGTGCCTCAGGCAACTACCTAGTCTGCCTAGGCTCATGGGCTGCCCCTATCTGGGAGAGTCTCATGTCACTGATTCCTGTAGGAGTTTTAAGCCTCGCACTAAGCTGGAGAGAGATTCCCACTTAAAACTACTACTTATGGAGTCTGCTTTCCAACTGGTGCCATCCCTTGTGTGTCCTTATTGGTGCTCCACTGCAGACATTGTCTCTCCTTGTTCAACACCGGTGGTCACCAACCAATAGATCGGGATCTACCGGTAGATCTTGGAGCCTCTGACAGGTGATCCTAACTGGTTTGGCCAAGAGGCTGTCAAGTGCCAACACTTCAGCTGCCCCTCCCCCTACAGCTGCACATCTCCTGTCCTTTGCCTTGGAGCTGTCCCCTTAGGAGACTCATGTAGAGTGAGCAAATTAGCCGCACTGATGTCAACACCTCCCTATACACTCTTTAATGCTGAATCAGTGATACTGAGGTCTCATCCAGCCTTTCTACCTAAAGTCTGCACAGATTTTCATATAAACGAACCAATCGTTTTGCCATGTTTCTATCCAAAACCTCATACCTCTCAGCGTGACGCTCTCCTGCACACGCTCGATGTTCGTAGAGCCTTGGCATTCTGTATAGATAGAACCCTCTCTCTCCATAAGACGGATCGCCTCTTCATTTCGACATCAGGGCCTGCTAGGAGCGAGCCCTTATCGGCCCAGCGTATTTCCAAACTGGTTGTCTCTTGTATTACGACTTGCTATGCTATCTGTAAGAAGCCACTCACGTCGCAGCCTAGAGCCCACTCAACAAGGGCAGTTGCTGCATCTGCAGCTTTCGTGAAAGGAGTCCCTCTGCGGGATATCTGCCGGGTGGCGACTTGGTATTCTACTTCCACCTTTGCAAGGAATTATGCAATTGTTCAGCACTTCTTCTCTGACTCAGCGGTAGTCTTGGCAGTGCTGCCTGGCATTCAGAATCCCGATTCCGAAGCCCACGTCTAACTGAGATTACTGCTTCGGAGTCACCAGACGTGGAGCACCCACGGGGACTACCCGAAGAAGAAGAGGAAGTTACTCACTTTGTGCAGTAACGATGGTTCTTCGAGGTGTGTCCCCGTGGGTGCTCCACGCCCCGCCCTCCTTCCTGCTTCGGAATCTTGTCTTTCCGTCTTTCAGATAGGCAGTGAGACGAACTGGCGGGCGCTGGACAGCGCGCGGCAGATGAAAGGTGCGAAATGGGCTCGCACGCACGCAGTCCAGCCACACACACACACAGCTCTGGCAAGCTCCGATTTGCGGCGCCCG